ACTTCTCAGCGATTTTTGCTTTACAGTAGTAACGTGGAACCTAACCTCTACTCAAAAATTAGAGAATAAAGAATTAATATACAATTTCTATGGATTCCATCACACACTGAATTACTCCTTCATGATAAAGCTGACAAGTTAAGCTAAGAAAGTACCCTGAAGGAAAATGAAGAATATAACTTTGATGTGTCTGTGTCTAGCATTAAGAATAATATTAGGTAAGCAGTATTTGTCCACTTTCTGAGGAACATAAAGATAGACAGTATAATACCAAAGTTGATTCCATGTATCAGAAATCTTCCCTATGAGGATAGACTGAGGGCCCTGAATCTACACTCTCAAGAAAGACGTATAATTAGGGGGGATATGATTGAGGTCTATAAATGGAAAACAGGAATAAATAAAGGGGATGTAAATAGCGTACTAAAAATATCTAGCCAAGACAGGACTTGCACCAATGGTTTCACGTTGGAAAAATTCAGATTCAGGAAGGATATAAGAAAGTACTGGTTTGGTAACAGAGTTGTGGATGAGCGGAACAAACTCCCTAGTACAGTTATAGAGGCTAAAACGTTGAGTAGTTTAAAAATAGGTTACATAAATACATGAGTGGGTGTGGGTGGGTGTGAGTTGGACCTGACTAGCTTGTGCTACTAGGTCAGATGCCGTGCTCCTTTCTTAAATGAATGTGACCTGACCTAACTAGGTTAGGGCATTGGCTTAAGCCGGTAGGAGATTTGGACCTGCCTCGCATGGGCCAGTAGGCCAGTTGCAGTGTTCTTTCTTATGTTCTTATTAAACAAATATCATAAATTTGTTTGCAACAGATAAGTCAATTATAGATATAAATCGAGATGTACTCCTGTTAACCCTTTTTAGGGGTCTAGTTCCTAGGCTCTTTGTGTATCCAGATGCACTTGCGCTACCGTCCGAAGGATGGATATAAGGTGCAAAATAAACTAGTCTCTTCGGCGGCAAAATCTAGTCAACCTCTGCAACCTAACACCCCATTCTTAACTCACCGATTCTAGCTCATCTCAACTTCCTTATTGTGAGCATGTAAGAACAGAGATTTCCACACATGAAGCGCCTAAATATATGTAAGTAAGAACATGAGAAAGAAGGAGCACTGTAGCAGGCCTACTGGCCTATGCTAGGCAGGTCCAAGTCACACTATTTTGTTAAGAACTCTTATCCTACCTCTGATCATTTCAAAACCCAGCCCTACTGACCGAAAATAAACCACCACCTTCTCCCCAGGATGCGCTAAACCCATGTGGGTCATTCAGCGCAAGTGGTGGTGGAGGCTTGATATTCCGTCTGTCGAGCCCCAGACAGACGATCTTCCTATTTGTACTCATCTATATCCCGATTACATCCAAATATGTACCTATTTACTGGCTTAAGGAAACATTCCCACACGTCTCGACTCACCTGAGATTCTTCTATCACCCTTCGACTGTGAGCTAAAGGTACTAAACCTGAGCTGCGAGCTTCATAGTGTACAGCAAGGTCTAACAGAGACGCTACATACACGGGGTAAAGTGCATCCTTCACAACAAGCCAATAATAGTGATCAACACATCCTGAGGCTGTTATCTCCGAACATCCTCTCTTCCAGTATCCGGTAACTTATCGAATCACCAGAAGTATCTTCACCTTAGTGCCGCTACTCTGTACTGCGTATGAGATAGTGCACATGATGCTGTATTTACGAGTTGGTATGTACTAGGAGGTATATACGTGATGGGCGTTGGAGTGAGCGCACATGAGGCTGTATTTACGAGTTTGTATGTATGAGGAGGTATATACGTGATGGGGCGTTGGAGTGAGCGCACATGAGGCTGTATTTACGAGTTTGTATGTATGAGGAGGTATATACGTGATGGGGCGTTGGAGTGAGCGCACATGAGGCTGTATTTACGAGTTTGTATGTATGAGGAGGTATATACGTGATGGGGCGTTGGAGTGAGCGCACATGAGGCTGTATTTACGAGTTTGTATGTATGAGGAGGTATATACGTGATGGGGCGTTGGAGTGAGCGCACATGAGGCTGTATTTACGAGTTTGTATGTATGAGGAGGTATATGCGTGATGGGGCGTTGGAGTGAGCGCACATGACAGCTACAAACACGTCCAGACCTGCAATGCAGTATTACATTATAAACATCAAAGATGAAAGTGAGAAATATCCTACCGAGTGTAAATTTCATCTTACTCATTAATGTACACTACTTCTGTTTATGTAAGCAAAATGAAAATTAAACTGTAGCAGTTTTATTGACCATGAGCGAGTCCAGTATACAACTATAAAGGAGATAAACGTGAAACCTAGCCGCAGTGCAATATTAATATTTATGACCCGTGCAGGAGGAAGCATCTGATGTCTTTAAAAAACGGCGCTTGGATACTGTTGTGAGACTCTTAATCAAAGGGACTGGAGCTACCGCATTACCTCCCCTTCCCCAAGCGCTGCATGGCCTCGTAGGGTTTAGCGCATCTCATAAATATTCTCCTTCAAAGTTTGCTCTAAACATAAGTATAATTATATTTGTACAATATTTTCCTGGGTGAAGATATCACAAGCTTATCTCCAGTGTCTCCTGGCAAACATGTTGAGCATTTTTTAATTATTTTAATTCGTTTCTCTCTCTCTCTGTTTCTCTTCATCACTATATTATACATTAGCAGAGAAAGGAGTCACATAGCTATAAGTGGGTGTTCCTAAACCCTGATTTTCTTAGCTAAGAGCTGTCAGCTTAGTTTACTGTCAAGCTGCACTAGTATTTTACATTTATTATTATTATTATTATTATTATTATTACCAGCATTTTTTGTTAGTATAATTGTTATATATTGCAAGCATATAAATTATTTAATATTTACATGACATTCAATTTGGGGACTAGATGAAACACAGTCTTCCCGGATACCAGTGCGCCTTCGAGAACAAGCATCAGGTGAGAATAAGAAGCATGTCAGACTGCTGATGTTTGACCTTTTTTGTAACGTAACAATGGCATTGTGGATGGCCTGGAAGACGAGGCAGGTGGGGAGGCTTGGAAACACACGCCTAGTACATGAGAGTAAGGCAACCCACCCAGGCGCCACTAGTTCACCAGCACCTATTGCCAATCCTCTCCCCTCCCTCCTTCCCTCCCTTCAAGGGAGAGGGGCTTTCCCACTGAAGGGATCTCCATCCAAGCAATTGGAGCTAACCTCTTCTTTGGGTCAAACCCACTTATCTCCCATTCCCGAGGCGCTGCATGGCCACTGTGAACAATAATAATAGTAACCTAGTATCAACTGTAATATAAATTCACGTGGGATACAGAGTACTAGACATGTGCTTTATTATAAAAGTGTTTCTGAAGCTTTTATAACAAAAGGTTATCTTCTATTTGATCTTTCTTTCGTATTTAGGGTTCATATAGCACCTGAAGAATGGGGGGGGGGACAATCAGATTCGATCCAAGGAAGAGGGCAATTTCAATCCCTTGATCAAGAGCACCTCACCAGCATCAAGAGCCCTCCCTTTGGGAGCAAGTTCTTGTCTTTTGGTTACATATTCCGATATAAAGATTTGCTAATACAATATGTCAAGCCAAATCGAGTCTAAACTGTTACTCTTCTTTCATTTAGTTCTCCCAAGCCACGCAAATTCGATATTATCTTCACCCGGTAAGTTTACCATGATTCCCCTATACACTGCACTGCTCCTCGCCCCAACACTACCCAATGCACCTACAAGTCGCTACAATGTCACATATTCTGTTCGACAATCGATAGTACAAATAGAAATGCTAAACTTGTAAAATTTAATACTTGACATTTTCACCCACTAGTCACTCTTAACAACCAGTACGTGAAGTCAGATGTTAAAGTTCAGACATGGTAGATACACACCTTCAGCAACAGCCCCACACTTCATTCTGAGTAACTCAACGAATTCTGATGCCATGAGAGATGATATGGATGTCTACCATTCTATTACTTCCGAACCTTCTTCAGTGATTTCGTCCAATGACAAGAGGAAACATGAGCGACGTAGAAAATTAGCAGCGCGTCAAGGCTAATTTGCAAAAATGAAAAAAAAAATCATATAAGTTATCAAGCAAATATTACGTGTTACTAAAACATTTTATATCCCAGAACTGAACCTCTTAGATCATAACACCAGTGACAACAACTCTCTCTTCCAGTGACCACTAATGCATCGAGCTGAGCCTCCTAGGCCACATCATCAGCAGCAAAAACTATCTCCAATGACTAGGGTACACCACAGGAATAAAGGTTACATCTTTTAATGTTATCAATGAGTGTCGCTCCCTCTCGGTACAACTTCCACCCGCTCAGCCTTTCCGGATACTCCACTATCACTCCCACACTGCTACTTGCAGACCTTAACGCAAAACAAACTCACCCTTAAGTCATTTAAACTCTAACTATTCCCTTGTATTTGGTACAATCTATAGTCTAATTCTAATATTTTTAAATAAATACACATTTACATTCCTCTTTCAAATTATCCACCATTTATTACTGATCTCTATTTACCATTTAGAAATTGACAAATCTTCAACAGGAGTTAATATTATTATTTATCTCATTAATTTATAGGTGTCAGTTCCTTCTGACTGGGCCTTTGAATTACTCTTGAGCTTCAGGATGTCTGGAAAGCTAGTCACCTGGAGCTGCAAGCGGACAGATTATAATATAGGGAATTTAATCTAAAGAATTGCATCGAATCTTATTCCCTCCTATTTCCCAAACTTGTAGGATCCCAACGGGCTTGTAATACATTATGAAAGTCATATAATCAGAAACATTGCTCCATATTGCCAATCCTTCTTGATGTTGGAATACTTCAAGGTGGAGAACTGAAACCCACGTGATTTAACGTCCAAATGTATGCAACCTGCACATTCAAAGCTGACTTCCAACAAAATAACATCACAGACAACACAGTGCAGATATAATTTACAGATGGAACACTAACCCTTGTCGAGAAGTCTGAACTTGCGGTGGACGACCCTAGAGGAAGAGGGCTGGAAGCGGTGGTGGGCGTGGTGATGTGCGGGCGTGTCAGAGGTGGTGGAGTGCTCTGTGAGGGTGTCAGACTCCCCAAGACTGCTGCGTCGCCGCTGGTGACGGTAGATGGAGAGCAGCAGATCGTCCACAAGGGACCGCTTCCGCTGTCTGCTGCCCCGCCTACTGCTGCAGAAGGAATATATAGTTTGTAAATAATTATTTATGGGTGATGAATCCTGCAGCGAGAAGGCTGGAGGCAGGGAGATGTCATGTCTGAGGGCAATGTGTGGTGTGAATATAATGCAGAGAATTCGTAGTTTGGAAGTTAGGAGGAGGTGCGGGATTACCAAAACTGTTGTCCAGAGGGCTGAGGAAGGGTTGTTGAGGTGGTTCGGACATGTAGAGAGAATGGAGCGAAACAGAATGACTTCAAGAGTGTATCAGTCTGTAGTGGAAGGAAGGCGGGGTAGGGGTCGGCCTAGGAAAGGTTGGAGGGAGGGGGTAAAGGAGGTTTTGTGTGCGAGGGTCTTGGACTTCCAGCAGGCATGCGTGAGCGTGTTTGATAGGAGTGAATGGAGACAAATGGTTTTTAATACTTGACGTGCTGTTGGAGTGTGAGCAAAGTAACATTTATGAAGGGATTCAGGGAAACCGGCAGGCCGGACTTGAGTCCTGGAGATGGGAAGTACAGTGCCTGCACTCTGAAGGAGGGGTGTTAATGTTGCAGTTTAAAAACTGTAGTGTAAAGCACCCTTCTGGCAAGACAGTGATGGAGTGAATGATGGTGAAAGTTTTTCTTTTTCGGGTCACCCTGCCTTGGTGGGAATCGGCCAGTGTGTTAATAAAATAATAATAAAAAATAATTATAAATAATATAGATAATGTTTGTAAATAATTTCTGCCGTTTGTGAATTGTTGCGTGTGTGTGTGTGTGTGTGTGTGTGTGTGTGTGTGTGTGTGTGTGTGTGTGTGTGTGTGTGTGTGTGTGTGTGTGTGTGTGTGTGTGTGTGTGTGTGTATGTGTGTGTGTGCGCGCGCGCGCCTTTCACAACTAACTCACTACGAAAAAACTTATCGTAGAAAGACTGCCCAACAACTACTCAGGTCTAAAAATATACACAGGAACTTAATGTAGAATACATGAGACCTTATTTTAGGCACAGCTGGATTAAAGATAAGCTAAGTATATGCGATGATATAAAACAAGAGCAATTGCTCGGTTCTGACAAAGATTTAAGCCCACGACTAGAGAAAATAATGAAAGGAGCAGGAAAAAAATCTGAGAAACCATCAGATTTTCTCTGAAAAGACTGTGATAATAATGAAACTTGATAACCCAGCAACCACAATAATGGTGACGCTAACTACGACGCTTCAGATGGAGTGCGTGTCTGGTACGTACACACTCCACCACGTAACACCATCCTCAGTACCACCACCACTGATTTGAATGTTTCCTTTTCATGCAGATACTGATGTACGCACAGCTTAAGGCTGAGAAACGTTTAGCCACGAGTGACTTATTGTAGCGAAACGCTTCCTCAATAAATATCTTTCAACTGCATGTGGCATTGCGAACTCACAGTACTACCAAACCTGTTTCCCAGCCCGGTGACTGGTTATTTTCATCCATGTCGATCCTTCAAGTGCTCTTGATCGAAGGAACTGGGGCTATCCTACCCTTTCTCGAATTAAACCTGATTACCTCCATTCATCTGGAGCTGCACGACTCCCCTACGGTTTTAGCGCTTTCCCAAGAATATAATGACCATTCCCTCCCTTCCCACACACACACATACATCTGCCCACCCAGAAGTAAAAGTAGGTGCTACGTGCTACCTATGTGTCAGTCAACTGGTGTGGGCCACATCCAGGAAGAAACCGCTGTGGAAATGTGCCAAGACACTCTTAGTCCGGCTGGATGTCATCTGAATTACAGTGTTGGTAGACTCCAGTCCGGCTGGATGTCATCTGAATGACAGTGCTGACAGATACCAGTCCTGCTGGATGAGATCTGAATGACAGTGCTGACAGATACCAGTCCTGCTGGATGAGATCTGAATGACAGTGCTGACAGATACCAGTCCTGCTGGATGTACTCGTGTGTTAAACGCTTCCGTACACTGTAATACATTTAATAATTTTAATTAAATAAAATGTCCGTTGATATTTCTAGGAGTTGCTGCCCCTAAGAAATTCTTGAAATTTCATGAAAATTTTGATATTCGTTTTTCTTAGCTAGGTCAATTTTGATTGGGTAAGGTTAGGCTATAGAGTGTTAAGATTGGTGGTTTACGTCTGACCACGACTTACGAAATCGTAATAATATAACTGCAAACAAATCACATAAACTCAAGCCCCATGTTCTGTAATTTCTAGGCCTCATGGTTACTGGCATGATCAGACAAGCTATTGGTGCCAGCAGCACGCAGTCCAACATAAGCATCACATCATGGCTCATCAGGAACCATCTGCAGGAACCAGTCTAGTTCAACTTTCAGTTGGCAACTCTATCGCCTCACACATCGCCCGTGGTTCTAGTTTGCAGCAGCATTACTATGTAGCCTATCATCGTCGTACTGGTATAACTTGTTTACAAGTTTATTGTTTGCAAGCCTTGCAGTTTCACAGCAAAACTGTGACAGGAATACTGACTCAAGAATCTGCACTCTCATACCACATGCTAACTCTCCTCTGTCTTTCACAGACAAGACTGAGTGTGTATTTGGCAGACACAACCACACACATAAACACGATGTCATGTACATTCCAGCTAGTTCACATCACTGAATCTCACCAGACTGATGAGCCCTGCCATAAGGCCAACGGCACCACTGAACTGGCCATTACAAAACCCCATCTTTGTTTGTCTGTCTGCTTTGTCTGTTTCTGTCTGCACTCTCTCCTCCACCAGTGCACCATTATGACGCCTGTACACAGGGACGGGTCTCGGGGTTCCATAATATACATTAATTAGCCTCCCCCTTAGTTACCGTCGCCCCGAGACTCCCCAGGTAAGCCCTGCCAATTAAGAAAGATTTCCCCAGAGAAGTTTTAATTTTAATAACAACATGTGTATTTACCATAATTAAAAAACTGAATAAGACTGATGGAGTGTATTACTCCGGGTAAAATTACTTTCCAAGTAGAGGATGGGGTGCTTGAAGATTTCGTCGATTAAACGCTGTTAAAAATGACCCGACCAGAACAGGGGAGGAAAAGTAATCGATTATTTTTAAACCTTGAACTTTCGGCGAAGGTCATAAGTGCCCTTTAAGGTGCGGGAAGAAGCTCTAATGCCGGTGAGAGTTCTTGATCCAAGGAATTAGAACTACCCCTCTCCTCCACTTGATCAAACAGGATTACAACCACCAAACACAGCGGTGTAATTACGCAGTTTGGCAGAGGACGGCAGGAACCAGGAGACACATAAGCACACTGTTATAGTGTGACTGTAAATGGTCCAAGTCGGACCGAAACATCGTCGTAAGCTCCTCTCTCCTATGTGAGGGTTATTTGTGTGAAGTCGCTTTCATCATTTGACAAGTAGAAGCAGAAGGATAAGACTACCCAGATTAACCCTGAGGGTTTTAATAAACCAAGAAAGCCAGTGTAGTTAATTTCCATTGGGGTCCTTTAGTCCTCTTCCCCAGGATGCGACCCACAACAAGTCGGGTAAACCAGGGCAACAGGTGTAAGGAAACATACCCAGCCTCGCCACCTGCACCAGGATCGAACCCAAGTCCTTTGCTTGTGAGTCGATGGGGCGACCACTAACCTACGGGCCGCCAGACAAGGGGAATTAGGTGCTGAGGTAGTGGAAACAAACTCCATACATAGCTTCAAGATACAATGGAGCCCAAGAGGCTAGGAACCAATGGAGCCAGTTAATTGAAGGATAAGGGGCGGGTCCTGGAACTGGATCTCGACCCCTTCTCCAGACAGCTCTGTGATTATGGAGTATACTTTTTACTCCGTGATCTGTATGTCAAAGAAATGGCTACACCTCATCTTTAATTATTTACATATTCACAAAACGAAAAACATTTAAATATGTCATGTTTTAATTAAAAACTTACATATCCATACAGCAGGCACGCACGCACTCACAACAACAACACACACACACACACACACACACACACACACACACACACACACACACACACACCACAACACACAACACACACACATATATATATATATATATATATATATATATTATATATATATATATATATATATATATATATATTAGATAGGAGCGGATGGAAGCATATGGTTTTTAGGACTTTACGTACTGTTGGAGTGTAAGGTAACATTTATGAAGGGATTTAAGGAAACCGGCAGACCGGACTTGAGTCCTGGAGATGGGAAGTACAGTGTCTGCACTCTGAAGGAGGGGTGTTAATGTTGCAGTTTTATAACTGTAGTGTAAGCACGCCTCTGGCAAGACAGTGATGGAGTGAATGATGATGAAAGTTTTTCTTTTTCGAGCCATCCAACCTTGGTGAGAGACGGTCGATGTGTTAATAATAAATATATATAGATATCACTTTTAATATTAGTTAATATTACGCAGTGTGAATGTTATTAAAATGAAAAAGCTAAGTCTCTTAATCTGTATTTACATTCCGTTAAATTTTATCTACAGCGCAACTTTTCAAAAATTTGTCTGTTGCTCTTGCCTTTATCATTATTATTATTATTATTATTAGTCTGAGCTTCAGACAGTGCCTTCTTTTGTCAAAAAATACTTATGTAATATACAGCTCCTGGAAATACTAAGGAAAATAGATTCTGGATGCACCTGACAGGGTTTTCCAGATGATGGCGCTGTGGCCGAGGCTTCACAATAGAATAAACTTGCTCACCCTTCCTCCCCGGGCCTAATTACCAGGAATTAACTAGTAAATATTCCGCTGTCGTTATTTTGGCTGCAGCGTGTTTCATTAAAGTTTTAATTCCTAATCCTGTGCAAGATATTTTTTTTTACAGTTTTGGTTCATTATTAGAGGTCAATTTTATGATGTGATATACCACGTTTGGTATATATGTAGCAAGGAGTTAGTTCATGTCTACAGGCTACCTGGAGTTTACCTGGAGAGTTCCGGGGGTCAACGCCCCCGCGGCCCGGTCTGTGACTACATGATGACTTACTTCACGTCAATAAGAGCGGTATGTGAA